CGCACGTTTCGAACAAATCGTAAGTGAAACATTTTGTTGCCATTCAAAGTTTAAAATGCGATTCTTCGTTGACAGCTACAAACAACACCGATCAGTCAGTGTATTCGGCACGAGAAAATGGTAGAAAATTGTTTTGATTTTTCACTGTTGACTCGGTTTTGGCGGGAATCCTTTGTGTTTCTAAATAATGAGGAGCTCTGAACATTAGCTCTTACACTAGTCAATGGTGTATATTGGATATCGATATTGCTTCACAAAACAGCTCATAACCTAAAAGGCACTGACGTCGCAGTGGAGGAAAAAATAGAAAGACTTTCAATAGTTTGAAGAGTTTTCCACTTTTGTTTATGTTTTTTTGCGTTTGGCTAAAAAACGCGGTAGACAACGTACTTGGCGTACTTTTGACTACAAATTTAATCGTTCACGTTATTTTCTACGGCTGAAATATCTTCATTAATATTTTTGGTTTATTTGTTCTTTTTTGTCAGTAGGCACGATGGAGAAAATTCAGCTAATGTTAAAACGCTCTAAACGGAAAAATTCAGCGAAATCAAATGAAAATGGTTTTCGTTTTAAAATTTCAGTACGATCAGGTAAGAGTGTACTGATCTTCCATTCATAATGTTCAAATTCGTACTTCTAGCCATTCTTTACCTAAAATTCTAACCTCCGTTATGTTTAAAACGCGACTGAACCATAATTCTTCCTTTATTTCAAAAAACATAAAACGCGCTTTCTCTTACTCAAGGCAAATGACCTGAATCTAGGTCATCACTCGTGGCGACGATTAGGTTGGTTTGAACTTAACACATGGGTGAATTTTTCTTTCCACTACACGGAGACGTAACCAACTAGAGAACAAGTGGAATGTTTAAGACAAACATTTTCTACTTGTAAAGTTATTCACGACGCGATTGCATTTCATCAGATCGAGCAGCGAGTCCTTAGAACAAAGAAGAACTAATTTCTTGATGCCTGAAAATCAAACGGTCGGCATCTTGACGCCGGGAGAAGAGACAATTTTTAGAGCTTAACCAACGAGGCCTAGACGAACGATTTGACGATTGATTCCTCGTGTCTACCAAAACATCACAGGTAAATAAATAGCCAGGAGCTTTGTTCCAATCAACTGGATTTGAACAGTTTTAAAATTGGTTTACAAGTGCAGACACTTAACTTCGATTTCTGCGGTGTGAAGCCACCAAAAAAAATGCCATTTGAGGCCCTTCCGGTTCCCTAGATGGGATGCTTTAAAGTCCATGACAGAAAATTCTCAGTACTCTGACAGTTGTCGTAAGTGTAACAGATTACCAGTACACATTCAAACTCCTGAGAGAAGAGGGTCTGAATGGCATTGACCGTTAGCCGTAAAAACGGGCCAAAATATTTGTAAATTTTAATTGCTAGCGTAAAAAATACTAACCATAAAATAACCACGAAAGTGAAAATCTCGACATCTTTTGTCAAAACTTTTTTTGTTAAGTTTCGTCTTGTAGCTTGTGAGCTTATTAGTCCACAATTCTTATAATAAAAACTTTTCCTATCCCGGAATGATCTAAAGACCTTAAATATGTTTTACCGAAATAAAAATAAATTTTAACTTTTTAAACGAAGAAAGTTGCTTTTAAACTTTAAGATAATAATCAAAGCTAATTAATTTCTAAGATTTCTGTTAACCGTAAGGAAAATAGGCCAACCGTTAGCCGTAAAAACCACCACCACATTGCTTGAAACCTTCGGAGGAGGGAAGCACTGTAAGATTGAAATGCTTTGCTCAAGAATACAAAGTAACAATCCTTGCTTGGTGTCGAACCTGATCAATACGACTTTTCTCGCTGTCAATATACATATAAACCGAGGGAAACACTTTTTCACGCGGATCACTCATTTCTACTACTAGGTCCAGAGCATTTCCAGCATTTCCCCACCTGAAAAGCTATTCATGTAATCACTGTTCCGGGGGGAGTTCCATCAACAGCGCAAGAGGGTATGAGCCTCTACGTCATCCTGCTGCTTCTTGCCATACAGGGACTGGTACCCAGCTGTTGTGCAGGTAAGTCGGGAAAAAAAAATCTTCTACAAAAGTTTAGTTGGCTCTCATGACGAATGTAACAGCATTTTTTTTGCAGGTGATTAATTATTATGTTTGCAGCAATGACATGAAGCCTTGCAGGTTGCCCGGCATTGATGTTAGAGAGCTTAAGCAAGCCACGACGGCGAAGGCAACGAGAACGCCACCAAACAAAAGGTTTAATGAATAGAACAATGACTGCGCACTTGCACGTGGGTTATAAATCTGTGTACATTTCGTCGCCGTGCTCTGCACAAAAACAACAACGTAAAATAACGAAGTTCGGAGTGTTTTGAAAAAAGCGAACAATGACGACTAATTTTTCGTATTTTCATTTGGAATTTAGATATTTAGCTTACGCAAGTTCTGGAACCAATAGGTGTAGTGAACAGATCTAGACTATTGCGAAATTCGAAGGTAAAGAAATAAATTCATTTTTTGTTTTACTAGGCGTTGTCCGCGGGGTCGCCGTCATCATTGCTTAAGCTCTCCCTATATCATTATATTTGTAACTTCATTTTGTGGCGTTGAGGATAAATGCATCTTCTGGATCTTGCTAATTTTTCAGGACACAACAGTGAAGAAGTCAGCGGCGAAGGGCCTTGGAAAGAGGAGGACTGGAGCGGAAGCAGTGGTAAGGATCAAATTGTGACTCACTTTCAGGTTTTAATGTTCAAGCATCGATGCTAATAATCAAAGTTCGCCCTTGCTCATTCTGGCTGCCTTTTTCCTTTGTCTCAAAGCAAGAAGACCTAATGTCTAAACTTTTAGAGAAACTGTTTATTTTGACGCTGGCGTAATTTTTTTTCTTTCGTGCGAAAAGAACTGAGCTAGGCCATATAGTCTGGAGGAAAGGCAAAAGTAGATCGTGTGATGGCCTTATGGATGCAGCATATGATATTTTTTGTTTTTCCATTAGGTTCAAGTACAGGTGAAGACGATAACTTCACTGGTTTTGATTCTGGTTGGAGCTCAGCCGACCGCGGACGCAATGACGAGGACCCACGGACGAATCCGAGAAACTCACGAACTTATTCAAACAAAAGATTCGTTACGTCGGGTGTTGGCGAAGATAAAGGAGGGCCCCAAGATGATGAAGGGTCACAATCCAAGTCGAATGGGAGTCAAGACCAAGAAAGTGGTTACGAAAATTTCGAATCTAACATGAATCTGGCAAATGGTGAGTGTAAAGAATTAGAACTGAAACATTATTTTTAGTTGATCCATTTGCTCTAGGGCATCATTTAACAAAATAAAATTGAAAGGCCTTTACTTGCGCAAGACAATGCGAGTGTCAGCTGTTGTTGTTTTTGTTGCTGTTGATTTTTGTTTTTGTTTTTCTTTGTTTGCTTTGCTAACCGTGCGTGCTCGAGATCCTTTGGAAAACGCGATCTCAGGCCTTGTCAGCACTAGGTCCCAAACAAAGTCTTTTAAATCATCTAGTGGATACAACTGATCGAACGCAAGACTGACCATTGAATGGATCACAAAGATCCATGTCCTCTCTTTAGAATACTGAAAAACGATGGTAATGTGAAACGCTCTTTAACCAAAAAAGAACAAATAATTATCTCAACTCTACTTGAGCCAAAGATATTTTTATTCAAGATTCTATTCAGTCAATTAGCAGCCAGTCTCGTAATCATTATAACCTCACAATTTGTTTTGTTTTATCTGCAATAATTTTGCAATACAAATTTTGAGTGACCATAGACTCGGCTTTTATAAGGTCTATCGGGAATATGTTAAGAATGCAAATGAACCCAATCTCAGAATGGCAGGATTCCTTTATCCATAAACTGATTGAACGGTTAATTTGCTATTTTGCCATTTTCTTATTTCAGTTGGCGATGCAATTGATGTGATGAAGAAGTTAAAGAAAGGTATTTCTACACTAATCAATTGAAAATTGATAATTAATGACTCATAACAATGTTTTTGCTCTTTCTCCTTCTTTTTCAGGGCACTTGATTATTAACAATATTGTCAAGTGGAGAAATAAAAGATACAAATAAATACAATAATGTTTTTTGCTATCTTCACAGCCAAATCAGATCAAGAGTTTGCCAAAAAGCTTAGATCAGGTGAGGTGGATCAATGTTTTTTTAAAAAATTCCTTAATCTACAAACTGAATGTCCGGCTAATTTCCAATCTCGCATTATTGCCTGCATAAGACATGACTGGTAAAGCTAAGCAAGATTGCAACATTGAAATATCTCAACTTGAGTTGATTAACTGTAACACAGTAATTTTTCTCTTTAAACTTAGGCCCTGAAAGTCTAGGCGTTGCTTTCAAAACGTTTGAACAACTAAGTGGTCTTTGGATTTCAGTTATGCATAGAATATGGAGAGTTTGGAAGGCGAAAGGTAGGTAGGCTTTCTTGCGTTCATCCAATAGGAATCGAGGACATTGCTTATTTTACCGGCCGTTCCGTACTCGAGAATTAGCGCGAAACGATCACAACCACACCGAGATCGGTTACAGTGATGTAGAAAGGCAGTAATGGTTAAGACAACTGATAAAAAAAAATACCAAAACTATTAACATCTAATGCCTTGATGGTCAGCCAATTAGTTCATGTCAAACGTAACAACTTTACCAGACTCAGTCATATGCAGACAATAATGCATAAGGCCTATACGGAGGATAAGAGGTACGGCGGCCTCATGGTTAGAGCTCTTGCCTCCGGATCGAGTGGTCCGGGTTCGAGCCCTGGCCGAAGACATTGTGCTGTTCTTTTTGAGAAGATATTTTACTCTCACAGCGCCTCTCTCCGCTATAAATAGGTACTGGCGAACTTACTGCTGGGGGTAACCCTGTGATGGACTAGTATCCTGTTCAGGGGGAAGCAGAAATATTCCTAGTCGCTTCATGCTAACGAAACGGGAAATAAGCGTCGGTCTGATGGGTCACTTGGCTCGTCTGCAGAATTTACCATTTTTTTCACAATATATGGGGAATTAACTCTCTTGCCCTTCATTCTCTCTGTCTCTTGTTTAAATGTTCCCTTGTGCTCGAGGGTGTAATCCATAAAGGTGAGACCGATGAGCTTAATTATTTACTAAAGTTACCCAAGGTTTTCATAACTTGAGCTGCGAAAGAACTACAAGAGCTTGCTTCATCTTATCTTTCACACGCAGGCGCTAAAGTGGTGATGCATTCAATGGTTCATGATTTGATTAATAACACTGGCAAAGCGATCAAGCGAAAAGTAGGGAGTATGCTCAGCAAAAACTTAGGTTAGTGTTTTGTGGAATTCATAAATATTACTCTTGTTGATTCAATAGGTGCTAATGCAATTTCAAGAATAAAGTGAGATATGCAGACATATCGACTGGTTATATAGCTGTAGAGTGGAACCACCATTTTCCATCTTCTTTCGGTTTGGAGAGTAGTTAAGCCAGTTGTTTAACTATAGCCCCATATTACGACAAATGCTTAATGGTTTTCAGCACTTTCCGGCTCTTAATCGTTCCAGTTTGATGGATCAAGGCTGTCATTCTACAGTATTTGATGCCACAAAAAACGAGCATCAAACGAATTCCCAAGCATTGGTCATTTGCCTGACACGGGTTGCTATAACAACACTGTAGTATTTAAATCATATAAGGATAGAAAACCAAAAATTTTAAGTGCTAATAACTCGAAAACAAACCTGGTAAACCCATTGTTTAATTGTTGAATTAAAATCAGCATTTTAGGATAAACACACTGAGGAAAACAAGCGTAGGATGACTTAGAGCCACCTTAATGTTTTCATAATTAAGATAGTCGAGTGGGAGAAAGTCTTNTACTATAACAACACTGTAGTATTTAAATCAAATAAGGAAAGAAAACCAAGAATTTTAAGTGCTAATAACTCGAAAACAAACCTGGTAAACCCATTGTTTAATTATTGAATTAAAATCAGCATTTTAAGATAAACACACTAAGGAAAACAAGCGTAGGAGGACTTAGAGCCACCTTAATGTTTTGATAATTAAGACAGTCGGGTGGGAGAAAGTCTTAAAAATATTTTTGAGATTGACGAATTAACGTACCTTCAAGTCAAAGGAAACTCACAATTAATATAACTTTCAAGATTCAACAACAAATGCTTCTTAACTTTAACAACAAAGACAGATTCCCATCCCAATCCTGTGGCTGATCATAATCTTAAGCATGACTGAAATTTTTGGAAAAAGTCTTCAGCCGTGAAGCTACTTGACAAAATCACACGTATGTAACGTTCGTGACACAATATGATGGCTGTCACATACTGCGACAAGTTTTGAGTGGTTAATTACGATTAGAGTAAATCCGGTCAATGGATATTTTTATGTATCTTTTGTCTTTTTATTCTTGTGAATTGTTTTGCACTTTACAGTTGTGGATCTTAGTAGCAGTGGGTGGACAACTTTTAAGGACGAAGGTTCAACAGAACCCGATCACAGCCCAGCCACAATTCATAATCATACAGGTAAATTCTCTAAAGCAACTGGCTGGATCGTAACCAGTATGTAGTAAATCGAGGCACCTGTCTCAGTCATTTTCTTTTCTTTTTTTTTTTTTTTTTTTTTTTTTTTTCATTTTGTTTGTTTTGTTTTGTTTTTTTGTTTGTTTGTTTGTTTGTTTGTTTGTTTTTGGAAGGGGAAAGTAAAACATTGCTAGCAAATAAATAACAGAATTGAACCAAGAACCATGCAAATGGACATTGCCTCAGTCATTCTTTTAGAATATACCAAGTTTTCCAAAGCATTGGAATGTTGATTTCGTCGTTGATGACTGCATATGTACAGCGCATGCGTTATCACCGGCCAAAACTCTTCGTCTCACAGAAGAAAAGCTACCACTAGGAGAGCATGGGATCATTTGACACAAATGGGCGAGATACGAGAAATATTTCTTCGGATAAAAGCTGCGAACCTTCCCATGCACACCATCCCCGAGCGTTTATCAGAGTTTAGGTCTACCAATTAGCATTTGTATAAGGTGCCTAAGTGACTATGGTGAATTAGCGCCTCAAGCCCCATACCGCTAAACAGCCTCACTCGACCGTCGGAAGATTGCATTCTGTCCTGAAAGCTTAAGTTACAGCCAGAGTGTAATTAAAGGTTTTAGTATAAGCATACTAGAGGTTTTAGTATGCCTTAAATCGACTTATATAAAGTACAAGTATAATTTATTTCACATTACAAATTTTCAGGTCCTTCAGTCGAGCGACTGAGTATTGATTTTAGAAAAAATACCTCCAAGGAAGCGAAAACTTTGCCATCTACGAAAAGTAAGTTATATAGCATACAGCATGGTTTCAGCTAGCTATACTGTATAGTTCCACAAATAACTCGCGCATTTTATAGGAAGCCACCCTCTTTATAGAATTATATCACTTTCCTTTCTTGCCAATCCAATCGCGAAAAATCTACAAATATGTTCTTTTTGCGTTTTCTATTTTACCGTTCATGAGAGCCTTCAACTGATTTCATTTTTAGGCGTTTTGCAAGTTTTACGCTGTGATTTGAATTATCGTAACGCAGAAATGTAGTAAATTGATAAATTACATATACAAACTAAATAGGCAGTAATACTGACAAGGCGCCCATCCTTCTCCCTTGTTAGAAGACTACTTTAAAACCTCAAATCTAAATAAACGTATAAGCTAAAGGTTTTAAAAGCAGCATTCAGCAGATTGAAGCACGCTGACTAAACACTGCTACACCCATCTTGTAACGTACAGTAGGTTAAAACACATCGTTTTGTACCATTTTCAGGAGAAAGAGCACCCGTTGAGAAGGTCAAGGTCTCGTTTTTCAGCGGAAAAGCGAATGATTCAAAAGTCATACAACAAACTTCAATTCAGAGGAACCCAAAGCGAGTCCCTGGACAAAGTAATAATTCTTCGTTGGCGCAGGAAACATTAGCAGGCAGCGCAAAGCAAAACATAACTAACAAAAAGGAGAAGAGTTCTAGAGCTGTTGATACAAGATCGATGGTTGTGTCGAACATCAAAAACAAAAACTCTACAACAAAGAGAAGTGAACATATTCCAGACACCAATAGTAGCCTGGATTCTAGAGATAACGAGAAAAAAGCTCTCAAAAATTATGTGGGCGATGTTGGAAAGATCGAAGAAACAACTTTATCTCATACTGAACATGAAGTGACGCAACACACGGGTGACAATAATAGTAAAAGAAACCAAACGGAAGTAAACACGAACGGTGACCAGATACCAAACTATAATGTGAGTAACAGTGTCACGCAGTCACAGAGTGGAGTCGCGCACGTACTGGAAGAAACGAATAAACAAGTACCTGTGGGACATTCTAAACAAAGTACAGAACAATTTATTGAAAACGATAAGAACTCAAGGACTAACACTGAAAGTCGAAACAACGAAACCAGTTCGACTTCGGTGAACAATGTCACTCAAGAGATGGTCTCTAAAAGGTCAAATGTTGCAGGTAACAAAACCGGTAAAACGAGAATGTTGGAAACGCTAAAAATAAACTTCTTGAGAAAGAACAGGACTTCACATTGGAATCAAAATACTACTTCCAGTTCTGAAGAGAACGCTTTGGAAACGCAACGTAATGTAAAATTGGATAATGAAACAAATTCTAAAGCTGATTCAGATAAAGTTGTGGCTTCGTCTAAATCAAGTCCAGCTGGTGGAAACGACAAGAAAAGAGCAAGTGTATTGGATAAAAAGAATTCAAACCTTCATAAACTTGACGTTGTAA